GGTTCTATGAAAGTGTTTTATACTTCACAGAACCTATGAAAGTGTTTTATACCTCACAGAACCTATGAAAGTGTTTTATAGGGTCTATGAAAGTGTTTTATACTTCACAGAACCTATGAAAGTGTTTTATACTTCACAGAACCTATGAAAGTGTTTTATACCTCACAGAACCTATGAAAGTGTTTTATACTTCACAGAACCTATGAAAGTGTTTTATACTTCACAGAACCTATGAAAGTGTTTTATACTTCACAGAACCTATGAAAGTGTTTTATACTTCACAGAACCTATGAAAGTGTTTTATACTTCACAGAACCCATGAAAGTGTTTTATACTTCACAGAACCTATGAAAGTGTTTTATATATTGTCATATCTAGAATGACTCAGGCTTCACCAGTTATTACGTAATTCTGTCTTTAATAACTGAACCAGATCGTATTGTCATATCTAGAATGACTCAGGCTTCACCAGTTATTACGTAATTCTGTCTTTAATAACTGAACCAGATCGTGTTGTCATATCTAGAATGACTCAGGCTTCACCAGTTAATACGTAATTATGTCTTTAATAACTGAACCAGATCGTATTGTCATATCTAGAATGATTCAGGCTTCACCAATTATTACGTAATTCTGTCTTTAATAACTGAACCAGATCGTATTGTCATAGCTAGAATGACTCAGGCTTCACCAGTTATTCAAAAGCGTGTTGTAGCTGTAGTTCGTTTATTTTTGTGTACAATATTATCCAGCAATAAAAAAGTCTTGTTCTGTATTTGAACCCTGATGCATTTGTAAATCTGTGAAGTATAAAACACTTTCATAGGTTCTGTGAAGTATAAAACACTTTCATAGGTTCGGGGGAAGTATAAAACACTTTCATAGTTTCTGTGAAGTATAAAACACTTTCATAGGTTCTGTGAAGTATAAAACACTTTCATAGGTTCTGTGAAGAGTTATTACGTAATTCTGTCTTTAATAACTGAACCAGATCGGACAATTTCTTGACCCCAGCCATGAGTGACTTCCAGACTTCGAACGGTTCGAGTCTTTCTGTTGACAACCGAAATATGTCATCTGAAGTAACAACAGCAGCTAGCAGCTCCCTCTATGTTATCATAGTGTCTTTGGTGTTAGGCTTACTGATTCTTGCTACAATAGTCGGAAATCTGTTTGTAATTGCCGCTATAGTGATAGAGAAACACTTGAGGTCCATCGGAAATTACCTCGTGCTCTCATTGGCTGTCGCTGATCTCATGGTGGCTTGTTTGGTTATGCCTCTGAGTGCCGTGTACGAGGTTACTAACGAGTGGGTTTTGGGTTCGGGTTTGTGTGAAGCGTGGACATTTTGTGACGTACTCTGCTGCACTGCCTCCATTCTCCACCTTCTCGCTATTGCTGTGGACAGATACTGGGCTGTTACCCGCGTGGACTACGTCCGCCAAAGAAGTTCACGACGAATAGGTCTGATGATTTTTCTGGTTTGGGGGGTGGCCGTCATTGTGTCGGTAGCGCCCGTGTTTGGCTGGAAAGACACGAACTTCCAAAAACGGGTTCAAGAAGATAAAATATGTCTTGTTAGTCAGGACCTAGCTTACCAGGTGTTCGCTACTTGTTCCAGTTTTTATGTGCCTCTCATTATCATTCTCTTTCTCTACTGGAAGATATTTCAAGTAGCCATAAATCGGATTCGGAATAAACCTGGAGCCAAAGCTCTTCTCATAGTTCGGAGGGCCACAACCAGCACGACCGGAAATGATCAAGAAAATACTGATGGTGTAAACAGTGGGATCACTAAGCTTGTAGCTCTTGCCAAAAGGGACAAACATCGGAGACGAGAAACCTTGGAGACAAGGCGCGAACGGAAAGCTGCAAAAACGCTTGCAATCATTACTGGAGTTTTTGTCATTTGCTGGTTGCCATTCTTCGTGATGGCAGTTGTAATGCCGATGTGCAGCTCCTGTCAGCCTGATAAAATATTCTTCAGTTTCTTTCTCTGGTTAGGTTATATCAACTCCATGCTGAATCCGATCATTTACACCATCTTCAGTCCAGACTTCCGAGGTGCTTTTCGTCGAATCCTCTGTGGAGAGGAGATATCAGCGACACCGAGACCGACTTAGGCTTAGAAAAACAACAGGACGTAACTTTCAAACAATCACTGCTCAAACGACGATTAGGGCGCCATCTGGAACATTGGTGAATGTTGTATTGCCGCCATGTTTCATTTGTCTTAATCTTGTGTGAAAATACGAGTTGAAGTCGAAATATCCAACAACAAAGTTTAATTAAAAATAATAATTTCATTCAGTTCTTTATGCAAAACAACACCTCATTTAAAACATTTTCAATCGAGAAACATTTTATTGTTATTTGAGAAGTGAAAAAACCTCCATAAATAATAATAAAGCAACATATATATATATATACTAGGTAAAGACATGTTTTACTTTCAATCTTTGTGCGGAAATTCGGTTTGTTTAAGTGAAAGTTATCTCTATACAAATTCTGACGTTCACTAAAACCCTCATTAAAGGTAGATGAAAAAGATATATCCATTGTATTAACTACATTCAAATATAGTCCAGAATCTAAGTTTATAATTTTCATTTTTTAAGTCATAAAATTCTGTTTGGAAGTAGGCTTATAGAAAACGTACCCATCTTCTTAAATGAAATTACCAGAATCTAAATAATTTCTCTCTTACAATTCTGTGAACAACAACAACAAAAAACGAAATTAATTTGAACTCGTAATTTACATAAATATTTAATTCAGTTATGACATGGTGGTTTCTTAGTTACAGCTTGTTGCCAATACAAATAAGTTAAAGGAATTTTTATATCACTTTTCTCATTTCTTTTTAAACGATTTAACGATAAATTTTATCAGATCTAAAGACTTTTTAATATTTAAACTAAGTTGTTCAAACAGTAGCGCCCTCTTAAGAACGTTACTAGAATTTCTTAGGGCCAGTATGGCTGCGTGTTCTGGGAACCTCTGTAAAATATTAGATGGGGGGGGGGGAGGTAAATAGGAATAATGCGGGAGAAATATTACAATTCCTGCTGTTGACTGTCCTCAAAGGATTGGCTATCTTAATAGGCAGGTGATCAATCCTACTCAATGGTACTAGTGACGTCATACACAGAGTAGTAATACGTCTGCCTAGAAGTGCTAAAATGGTTAGTAAGTAAAGAAACGAGTCCACAAGAAGATATAAAACATAGAACTGAAAAACATTAGACGAGGAGACGAATAAATTGAAACTTTTTGATGTTTTCTCTCTTATACATTTTTCTCAGTTTTCAAGTGATTTAAAGACGAACAACTCTTATAGTTTCCACTGTTCAAAAAGGCTTAACTAAGACTAATATAATCATACTTGTACTTACCCAAAGACTGAAGTAGACATTCAATGATGTCGCATCTTTAATACTTTTTTTACCCACAAGGCGATTAGCAGTATTAACTTTCTCTCCAAATCTCTTGTAGTGTATTTCACTTCTTGATTATCAACGATGACGTCACAACTTGATATATTTACCTAGCTTTTATTGTATGCATTAGTTCAAGAATAATTCACGTTGTAGCAGACAGGTGTTTACGTAACCTGAATTTAAGGGAAAAACAGCAATTCTAATTTACTTAAACCTCTCGTGCGCACGAGAGGCTTGATTACTATACGGAAATACTGCCAAATAATAATATGTGTTTTTTTATTTTATCAAAACTCAAACGGGTGTTTATTTTTACTTTAAATAACATTAATTTAAAATAAGTACAAGAACTGAAGCTTTTAGTACGTTTGTTTATTTTTAAATCATTTAAATGAAGGTGGCTGAGAAAGACAACTTTCGTAAAACTTAATCAAACGAACGACATACAAAGAGACTAGCAAGAAATTTTGTAGAAATTCTAAAGAAAATTTTTCATATTAGACTTAACTTTTTTCTTTTGCTTTCGTGCAGTTTTTAAAACAATATTTAATGTTTCGAAATATCTCATGTTTACAATTCACTTTCTTTGTCATTTTTGTTTTCTTTGGTGTTTAACGTAACGGTCTTTGTAGGTCACACGTGTTTCCGAAAGTTTCTAGTTTCAACCACTATATATATACAACATTTTGTGTTCTTTTTCTCCATAATTTATAAATAGTTGCTACCCTAAATAAATTGTTATTGATGTGCCTAAACGGTCTGAATGACCTCAACAGTTTTCCTTCAAAATTATAATTAATAATACTTGAATGATGACCTAAGGTCGGTAACAGTGGCTTTTTGTGGTTTGCTTGACACCCATAAACGCCCTCACTGGCACAGCAGTATGTCTGCGGACTTACAACCCTAGAAACCTGGTTTCGATACCCGTGGTGGGCAGAGCACAGATAGTCCATTGTGTAGCTTTGTGCTTAACTTCAAACAAGCAAACACACACTCATAATTAAGATCCCACTAGTGGCTCAATGGTAAGTCCGAGGGGTCACATCGCTAAAAATCGGGTATCGATACCCGTGGTGGGCACAATACAAACAGCCCATTGTGAAGAAATAAAACTCAATGAAAAATATATTAAGTTATCCAAAAACATATTTGAAAACTACTTATTTAAGATCATCAAAATGTTACGAAAAAAATATGAACTCTGAGAAACTTGGCTTTTGGTTTAATGAAATTGGCATTTTCAAGTGTGCATTAATATATCGAAAACACATATATAGTTTGACTACAATTCTTCTACTTAAACGTGTCTAAAGATTACGCACATACAATGATGAAATAGAATATTGGAAAACACGATTTTAAACGTTTAACAATCATCTCTTCAAAGCCAGACTTTCTTCTTGGATGGAGAACATCAATTATATGAAAGATGTTATTTTGTAATTTCACACCAGGAACGATGGATGTTTGTAAATCTGTAGATTTACCTTTGTGCCGCTAGGGGGCGGAACTGTATAACACCTTTTGAAATGTGCACCCATTTGGGTTTTTCAGGGGAAAAAAATCTAATTAAACTTGAGTGTTTAGGATCATGGTTTGTGAAGTTTAATGATTTGAAAGGATTTCATGTTCGAATCGAATTTTGACTTAATTTAAATTAATATCAAGAGAAAGACCGAGGAAAAAACAGTCAGAAAACTGGTTGTGAGAAATAAAAGGTATGATATCACATTATGTAGTCAAGGTAGATATAAAAAAACGTTTAGTAAATTCTCCATTTCTTCTTTCGTGGTGAGCTCAAACGTCTAAACACCGAGGAAGCTTTTATAAAACAAAGTCCTGTCAGTGTTCCAGTTAGCCTGCTGTTAATCGTTCTTCATTCGTAACTGGTTTATGTTTTGTTTCGATATTATTAATAACGTGTTTTATAATTGAGCCAGATCGTGTTGTCATATCTAGAATGACTCAGGCTTCACCAGTTATTACGTAATTATGTCTTTAATAACTGAACCAGATCGTATTGTCATAGCTAGAATGACTCAGGCTTCACCTTCAATTTTCTTCCTGAAAAACGTATAATTTGTATATGTAAATATAATTGCAAAAAATTGTGTTAACAATTAGGATATCCAAGTAATGAGTTAATAAAATCTATAAATTAAGCTATGATGTGCGCCAACAAGCGGCCTGCGTTAAACAAATTTTATTTACAAAACATTATAAAAGGAAACTCCTGTTTTTCCAGTAACTTACACAACTTAGAGTTAAAACCTCCAAAAGTTCCCATTTCTCACAGTACGGCCATCCCTAATTTAAAAAGCTGGATCATCCTGATCTGAGGAAGTATTTGAAATTAAACTTTGGAAGTTTAATTTTGTAAACTTATACATTTTTTTATGCTCGTACTGATAAGTTTAAATTTACATTTTTGTTTTCATTTCAGATGACTCGTTCAATTTGCTTCTGCTTAGGGAAGTATTTTTTTGTATTCTATCACGAAAAGTTATGTTTGAAAGGCATAAAAGGCACTGCATAAAAGAACAAGAATAACACAAAGAACAAAAGTTTCGAGCCAGCTCTTAGTTTTTAACAAACACGGGTTTCATGATTGTCATTTGCTAAAAACAAAAAAGTTATTTTTAAAAAAGGGCCTAGCAAAGTTAATACAGGTTTTATGATTATCATTTACTAAAGACGAAATATGATTAAAAAAAGGCCTTGCAAAGTTAATACGGGTTTCACGATTGTCGTTTACTAAAAACAAAAAAGTTATTTTAAAAAAAAGGCCTAGCAAAGTTAATACAGGTTTT